ACAGTCGTTAGCTGTGCTAAGACCAAAGACATTTTGACCAATTTAAATGTATTATTTGTGGTTAAAGTTGTAGGGTATGTATATCTACGTATCTAGTCACAAGGTCAAAGCCTAAATACAGTATATACAGTAAAAAATTAATTAAAAAAAAACAACTCATTGACAAATTTGAAATTGTTTTTACCTTTTGTAAATGTCCCTTTAAAAATAAAAAGTACAGTATTCAAAGGGGAAAAATTATATGGAAACAGGTAAATAACATAAGCAATGTAGTTAACTTCCAGAGTCAAAAATAAAGTACAGAAATGTAAATGAAAAAATAAAATATATTACAGCATAAATACAATATAAATAAATGCCTGTTCAAAACACAGAAAAATAACCTCCTGTACGTAGATATTTCTATTTTGTTAAACTAAATGTAATAAATTGAACTTTGCTACTTCATCTAAGAAAAAACTTGCGAAACAGCGAATGCATCTTTTACTGTTGACTGATGCCTTTTCTGTGTCTGTACTTGTTGGTCGTGAGTCACTAGTGTGTGAGTGGTTGAAGAGATTTGTCACATCTCTGATTGGTTGAGACACCTCCAAGCAGCAAAGCATACGTTCTGATTTGTCTGTGGATATAACTGCCCAGTGAACTCATTCTTTCTTGGTTTCTTGCTGACTCAACACTGCTGCTCCTCATCTCTCTCTGTCGCCTTAACTTGTGCTGACTTTTTAAAACACCGGTGAATTCAGCCTAGTAAAGTAGTTTGAGTTGAGACGGCACCCAACGTACGATCACGATTCCGAGAATCCATAATTGCCATTTGAGGTTGTTTTAATGCTATCACTACTCTGAATAAGAAAGTACCACACCTAAGACTTACAGAAACAATTACAGGACATGAAAACAACACATAAACATGATAAAACAGTACATTAGAAAAAGAAAATAAAAAATGACTGTAGTAATGTAGTTTAATATCGAGATTTTTTGAACTGAGTAAGATGAGGGAGTTTTGGAGATGCGGTGCTTCTTGGCGTTGGTTGTGGCAGAAAAGGGAACTAGTCGGACGTGGAGCACGATCAAAATACGAACTTGTGAACGCAATACATCATTTTACGAACATTTATGGACATCAGACAGCGGTTGTTTGTATCTTCAAATGTTCAATAGTCGGATGTTCGGATCTCAGGGAACTGCTGTTTTGGTTTTTGTTTTTGTTTTGTTTTTTCTTTTGAGACAAAAATTAAAACTCCATCCATTGCACAATCCCCCCCCCCTTCTTTCCAGTCTGTCCCCGCCCCCATTTTCCCCTGTTCTGGCAGCTAGCTGCAGCAGACCTTCGGAGCTCTCCGTGTTGGCACAGTCATGTATCCAGACTGCCCACACATGGCGAGTTTACTTACTGCACTTGTCATGGTTTAGGGTTCCACTGTTGGCAGTGTGCTGTGTTGACGGGGGCTGACTGCAGCTTGGTGTTGCCTAGCGCTGGCATTCAGGTCGACAAATACTGCCCCCATCATGGCCTGCATTTTTTAAGCTTTTCTGCCTTTTGCCTTTTTCCCCCTCTGTCGTTTCGTTGTTTTTTTTTTTTGTTTTTTTTTTAATGATTTCAGCCACCGTGCAGCTGTAGAGCTCGGCCTCTCTCTCTTTCCTTTTTCGCCCCTGACTCTTACAGCACTCAGATGACCCACTAATGTAAGTGAGGAGGGTGAGGAGAAGCCGGAGGCAGCAGCAGCAGCAACACTGCAGAGCTGCGGCTTAAAACAACCTGCCTCTGACGGACGGCATGGATCCTGAGGGGGAGAGGAGGAGGGGGAGAAGAAAAACCCTTAAAACCTTGGAGACAAAAATGCACAGCCAGTTTGTTCCTGTTACATTTTTAGCTGTTTTTTTCCAAATGACCTTTTTTGTTTTTGGATTAGCACTTTGTCATAAGGGCATCGTAACCTGAGAAATCAGTCCTTGGGGTTCAGTGCTCGTCTCTACGTCCTGTCTTATTTTTTAGTTATCATGAAGATTGCGGGATTTCAACCCTTTTTGATGTAAAAACAAACAGTCACACTTTATGTTTTCTGCTCCTCCTTCTCCTCCTCTTAGACGCTCCTTAGATTAAAAAGTATGCTTCAGTCCACATGGACTTTGTATCAACTTTTGCTCAGAACCACTTTGACTTCTGTCGTCACCTTGACCACCCAGGTGGAAAACCAGGACGAACAATTCTGTCTAAACTATACCAACACCTTTCATTTATTTTATTTTATTTTCATGGAGGCCTCGATTTCAGCCCCAGTGCAGGGCAGTAGGACAGTCGACCAGCTGACTGACAGTAGACTAATAATGTTGTTGAGGACATCGGCTTCATCTACAAGCCACCGTCCAGATGAGCAGTAAAATCCCATGACTCTATGAAGCTGATTTGTCGACCACTTTCATCAAGATTACTTTGATTAATCCACAACAAGTCAAAAATCCCAGCGGTAACAACGAGCTAAATCTGTCCAAAAGTACAGGTCCTGACATTTGACCGCCGCCATCTGTCAATAGTGTATTTCTGAAGGAAACAGAAACCCTGTATCACCCTGTCCGTCTAGTTTGTACAAACTTTGGTTTCAGTTACAGGGTTTTAAAAATAGCGAGTGTTTGTCAAAGTTGCTCCTCGTTCATTTTAGGCTGGGAATCGTCAACCTCCAGGAAAGTCACTGAAAGTAGAAACGTGTGTGTGTGTGTGTTGTGTGTGTGTGTCTGGCCCAACACTTTTCCGGCCTAAGGAACATTTCCATTGTCAGATGTTAATCCATAGTGACTTTGAACCCGTTCTGTCCTCGCCCTCGTGTCCAAAGACTCTCTGTGATGCTCAAAGCTGGAATGTTGAGGGGCCTCGTATTAGGTGGGGGGGGGGGTTATTCTCACCTTTCACCATCTTGGTTCTTTAAGTTTTTCAGTTTGCATGAATCGCATTGTCTGTTCGTTCTCAAATGGAATTTTCTAGAATCCCCGATGGTTTCTGTAATTCTGGTTTTTTCGTTTGTAAACACTGAAATAAATCTGACACACACACACATCTCGTTTGTACTGGAGTGTAATTCCATATGGCACACGCTGACAGCAGCACGGAAATAAAACAAGTAAACACAAGGTTGTTTGTTATCTAGGCCACAATTGTCCGAGGAGGTTTGGGTTCCAGTCGTCTGTCTCTGCGCAGACAAACCAGGAATCTGCCGGATGGTGTGAGAGACACCGGTTTTTAAATGAAAAAAAAAAAAAAAACGAGTCGTGTACGAGTCACAGCTCAGATGAATCTGCCGACGAAGCATCTGGCCTGAATAAATGTCGACGCATCTGTTGACAAATGCGCAGTTGTAGAGGAAACGTCCCATCAGCCCTTGGCCTCACTTTTTGTGAATGGTTAGCAAAAGTACTGCGTTACTCTGTAAATCAGAATCTCATAACGAAGACAGTTACAAACCGTCGGAGTCTGAAGATTTAGCTAACATTAGCCATCGTGCAGGCAAATGTGTGGTACATTACCATGAACTAAAATGAAAAATTGGCTTTTTTGCTAACTTGTGCTACACTAACAGTGATGGACATCTACAACAGCCACCAATAAAAAAATAGCAACACACCAATCAGAAACTGGCCGTGGTCAATGATGAAACATCGACTAAGGCCATCTCTGGTTGAACACAACATTTTTTATAGTAAGGCTAAAGTTTTAGCTTCAGGCTATCAATGCTAACAGGGACCTTCTCACCTCAGGAGTGTGTTGAAGCTAGCTACAATTCACTTTTGTTTGTGATTGGCTCTGACTTGGAACAATGTCATTTTATATCCTTTTTTTGGCATTTACCCACCTGGGGGTTCCTCTGGTCAGCCAGGCAAGAACTGTATGTAGGGTCTACGGGAAACACCCCCAACCAAGACACCTGTTAACAACCATCAGTTTTTAATTTCAACTTGGATTACTCAACTGTTTCCTTGGTTTCTTAGACCTTGTATCAAGACTGAATCACTTTTACTGGCTGTTAGCTCTGGACTGTCAACGTCACTTACAAACACCGGCTTCTGTATCAGTAGCTAAGCTAATCAGAGGCAGCAGATCCCCCTAATATCTCGTCCTGATATCTCTGCCAAGATCAGGATGATGTCGGACCAGGACATCTGCCACCGTGGCTCCAGATTTATTCTATTGTCTTAAGCTGAATGAGAAGCACAGTCAATTACATTGCTGCCATTAGAGCCAGGCATAATCCCATTAGGGTTGTTACAGCACCAGTGCAGCTAGGTTAAACGTTGGTTTCGCAGGACGTCAGAGGTTGTTTGGATATATGTGAAGGTTTCTTTAGTTCTTTGCAGTTTAAACCCTTGTTTACGCATCAGTCTGTAACTGTATTTAGTTTTTAACCTCCAAACCAACATACGGCCGTGCCTGTCACCTGTTCAGCGGCGTTTTTAAGCAATACATCCACAAGTGGGAGTGCTGGGCTAGGACTATTCCAGGGCTTACATCAGTTTCTCAGACAACAGCCAACATGGTGAAGATGGAGGAGGTCGTAATAACGTACCTGCTCAGAGAGTGGTCCAAAAAGTGTCCCAGTTTTGAGACCAAAGTCGGCTTTTTAATCAAGTTTGCTAAAGTACTTTTCTGGTCGTATCATCTGCATAGTAGTTGATGTTAGTTTCCTTGAACAGTTCTCTGTCCCTGCACTGGTAGAAAATCAGTTCTTCTTCCAGTCTGAGGTCATTGAAGTCTCTTTCTTTTGTTATAAACTTCGCCAAAGAGACCACTTTACTTCCTTTTCTTTCTCAAAATATTCTAGGTTTTCATTAAAATGCTTGTCTTTCTTTTGCAGGGACACCGTTCTGAAGGTCAACTCCGTCACTAAGTTAACAGAGCAGAGGCCGAGCGGTGAGAAAGACATCTGCAGAATGGCGTCCATACCAGAATACTACGCAGGCAAGAGCATCCTCATCACAGGAGCCACGGGTTTCATGGGAAAAGTGCTGGTGGAGAAGCTGCTGAGGTCGTGTCCCGAGGTCAAAGCCATCTACATTCTGGTCCGACCTAAAGCTGGGCAGTCCATGCAACAGAGGGTCAGCGACATGATGAAGTGCAGGGTAAGAGGAAGTCTGGTCCTTCTGTTTGGAAATAAAAACCAGTCCATTAACAATCGCACGAAAAGTTAGTCGAGTGAAACCACGACAGCATGAAATATCAGATGACGTCTGGTTGAACAGCGGAGCAGTTGAACCTACAGGCTGGTTATTCAAATCACTACAACCAGCGATTGTTCTGTCGATGGTGCTGTGAAAACAGAAAGTACGCACATATCGAGACTTGTCTAACGTTGACTCATCATGACGACAAAGTCCCGCCTTCTGTGACTTTTGAGTTTTGAGTCTAAGCTGAGGATCAGGTGGATTAGAATCAGACAGGCAGAGATCAGGGAGGTAGAGAGAGGAAGAGATGAGGTGAGTGAGGTAGAGTGGGGAAAAGCCCTGAACATGTGGTGTCAGCAGAAGAAGCAAAGCATGACTCGGCAAAAAAAAAAAAAAAAAAAAAAAACCTCCAAACTATATTGGACTGAATGGATTGGCATTAACAGCTGTCAGTAAAGTTTGTGTTAATAAAATCCAACTGTCAGCAAAAAGAAATGTTCTGTTTCTTCGTGTTCCTGTCTCTGAATCCTTCCTCGGAGAATCAGAGATTTGTTTTTATTTAGATTTCAAAATGGGCTCATTCTGCATTTTATCAAATGAAGGATCTCACTCGCTCTAACGCAGCAGCTGAAGTCTCAGTTAACAACACTCAGTAATTCACTGCTGCTGAAATAACGTTATTTAATGAGGATCCAGTGACTCTGAACACTGGGGTTTTTGTTTTCACCTCAAGATTTTACGACGGTTATCAACTTGACTGTGAGCTAGTTGTTTACAGCCCTTGGATAAAAGTCATATAAAGAGTTGCAGAAAACAGTTTTTAGATACTGCCATCACTAACCAACAACATTGAAAATAAAATGAATTCAATGCGAAATTTTAGTTCTTAGAACCATTAACAGTGATGACGACAATCGAGGCGATCACGCCCTTCAAATGTACTGAGATTGTTCCTGTGTGACCCTGTCTGAAGACGTCCACTGGATTTGGCTTACGCTCCGATGGTGTCTGCTGTCACAGCACTTGTCTGACGCTCGGCCGAGCACAGACTCACTGCTGCTCCGACCCCATTTGGAGGTGATGTCATTAAATTTCCACGACCAGAGCCTCAAGTACCAATTAGTATTCATGCAGGTCCTCGTATCGTTTTTTTTTTTTTATTCAATTCAGAATCAGGATAATTCATGAAGGGCCGCGATGGGTTATTGTCTCTGGAGCAGCTTCTCCTCTCATCCTACAAGCCGGGGCCTGTATCGTTCTTACCACCTGTTGCTAGGTAACAATCGAGAGATCAATCCCATGAAGCTGCCCCGAGCCAGAGGAGGACAAACTGATAGGAATCTGTGCATCTCTGCTGCGTATACACTGACATTTAAGCAGCAGAGAGAGTGTGTGTGTGTGTGTGTGTGTGTGTGTGTGTGTGTGTGTGTGGAGGCTGCTCTGCCTCAGTGGAAATGTTTGGTGCCAGGAACTGAGTGGCATGTCAGATGTTTGATACAAGTAGGCTTCTGTGGTACACAGGGCTCCTTATTCCCCACCCACCAGTGTTGGGCTGCTCGTGTCCCTGACACTGTTGTCTTTCATCTCAGAGGCTGCATCACATCTTGGTTCTGCAGCATCAGCTCTGTGTGCGCCGCGGGTCAGATGGGTTCAGATGTCAACAGAAGGAATGAAGGCAGGAGTTGGAATGATGTATGGCAGGTAGTGGAACAAGGTGTCCTCCACAGTGTCTGTCACGGTCGTCCATCATCCATGTCGTTTCTTCGACAGGAGGTGTGGACTGTCTCAGGTTCCTGGAAGACATTTTTTTCACACGTGCCGTACATGTACTGTTTTTAACAGTTAAATGGCAGTTGAAATCATCAATTATAGGTTAGTGACTTATTATAATTTTTATTTCTGACAGTCAAGAGATTCCATGTTAAAAGTGTGTTTTGATTACGGAACAATATGTTTTTAACTTTCCCCCTGCATTTCCTCATCTCCGTGTCTTGCCGCACCTTCGAACCTCAACAAAGAACAAAGAACCAAGTAGTGGTTACTCCTTTTAAAAAATGTGCTGACCCACCTTAGTGACGTCCGGAGCTTAGCTGGAGTGGTGTCACGGAGCTGTTCAAGTCGAGCAAACGGACCACACCCACGTACGAGCATTTTGAAGGGTGTGCTGGTGAATGTGTTTGAAATAAATCGAGCTAACACCAAGGTATATTTATAGAGTACACACATGCCTAGAATTCAAAGGAGGACGTGTGCATGTGTTGTTGAAAGAGCAAACATTCGTCTCCAAGTTGATCAAAGTCCTCCTTCACGGTCATACGTGTCTCCAGGAAGTCCACGTGTCGGCTAAATTATTGATGGAGGTCCATTTAGAAGACACATTTTTGCTCAGTTACATGCAGTACCAGGAGCTCATTTGTGCGTACTAAAGTGTGCGTACTAAAGTACACTCAGCCAGCTTTTACTCTCGCTGTGGTTTTTTGTATCGTCAGCATTCTGAAAAAAGAAATCCCAAACAGAACCGTACTACATCCACAAGACTCTGACGTAGCTGCAGTCCACACTACGCTTGAGACTATACTGTACTATACTGTATATAGTGTAGTATAGTTAGTCGTTACAGTATAGTTTAGTTATTGTAAACACTAAATGTCAGTGTGTATTGTTGTAGTTGATTGAAAATCAATAACACTCTGTGGGCCGTATGTTTTCCACACACAAATCCATCAGCGTTAGCGTACAGCTAATGGCTGCATTTTAGACATGAGGAAATCATGTGCTAATAAAGTGAAACGCTAAGCTAAAAGATGGCAAAAAAAAAAGTTAAATTACCACACCTTAAGTCAGGCCTTAAGTGAGAAATAGCTTAATGTTCACCAGAAAATGTTACACTAAAGGGCAAGCTAAAAGTTAGCCAAACATTGTAACAAACAACGGAGACGTTAGCGCTCAGTGTCAGAATATTTTAACAGAATTCTGATGATTCACTATAGAATGTGAACCGTCTGCTTTTCCTTTGTTTTTTTAAGTCAAACTTCCCTGTTACTAGCGCTACTTCTACTATTACAACAATTAACAATACTCTGTGTTACTTTTCTTAAAACTCCACATCTTTCAAAGAAAGTCTGTTGTTGCAGAGATCTATTTTCCTCTTACCCACAGTCAGATGAAGTTGATTTATCGAATCCTTGATGTAAAGAAAATTCACCGCAATATTTTCACTGGTGGAGTCCATGGAATTGTTGTCTACATTGTTGGTCTTTTGCGTTTTGGAGATGAAAGTAAAGCAACTCGGACGCTTTTGTTTTTTGTTTGCCTGGTCTTTCACGAGTGAGTCAGTCAACTTGGGATTTCACCGTGTTGGGCACCGTGCAGCGTCACTAAGATCTCAGGGATCAGTTATGGCTCCCAGCCTGGCACGCTGCAATTCATTTACTCCTCGTCTCTGCTTGGTTAGGGCAGGAGGGGGGAGGACGGGGAGGAGGGGGAGGAGGGCTCTGGGAATAATTACTGAAGCAAATGAACTCCAGTTTAGGAAACAAATTAACACATTATAATGTCACAGCTAAAAGGCATTAGGCAGTGCAGACGGGGCCGGGAGAGTCTAAGTAACCACAGGTGACCACAGGTGACCACAGGTGACCAAAGGTAGGTGACCACAGACCAAAGGTGACCACAGGTGACCACAGGTGACCAAAGGTGACCACAGGTGACCACAGGTGACCAAAGGTGACCACAGGTGACCACAGGTGACCAAAGGTGAGAAACGCCCTAAAAATGTCAGGATCAGGTTGAAGGTAATCAGTACTGTAATAGTGTTGGGAGGAAAACATGAAAAACTCAACTGGTGGAACTTAACAAAGTGTAAAATATTGAATCCATTAATTCAATAATCATTTCTGAAACCTAAGATTTTCAAGATCAAGACAAAAATCAATTTTTGTATTTTCTCAAACCAAATATAACAAATAAAATGTGCCTCATTTTGTTGAGGATCAAACCTCGGCCCACGTTCACACCGCAGCCAAAATTGGCCTTCATCATATTTTTATTTTTTTTGGCCGTATGTGGCCCATATCCAACAGTGTAAATAGAACGATCCAATTTTTCATTTTTGGTACCAAATCAGGTTGTCATGTGCTTGAAGTATCTGGTTTCACCTCTCACTTCCAACCAACAAATGATGTGATTTTGTGGGAAACAACAACCGACCAATCACTTCATAAAAACAGGCGTTGCGTCCGTTCCCCCGATCTTGAAGAGTCCTAAAGTTTCTCCTTGATCGAGGATGACGTTACTGTCTGAAAGCCTGGACAGCGATACCATCGACGTGCACGACCTAGAAATTGCATTTACCATCACTCCAGATTTTATTACCCTGCTCATATTGATCTTTTCCACCGAGTACAACCTCACGGCGCTGGGCCGGGAGCGGAACAGGAGATTCTCCATTTTCATTAACCAGTAATGAGGGTTTCCCTCCGATCCTTCACTCTGAACTGTGATTCTAAACATCGGACAGAGATGCGACCGTTATCGTCAGAATGTTAATGGAACCTAACAGCGTTACAGCAGTGTTTACCCCGGGGTAAACCTCGAGCTTCTTCCCCACATAATTCAAATAAATCTTCTGAAAAGTGGCTTTAAATACGTAGCAGCGTGGGATCTTTGGGAGACCCCTACTGGGACAGAGAAAACGGTGGCGATGAAACCCACCCCCCCACCACCACCCCATCTCTTTAATTTGCCAAAAGCCCTGAAGGTTCGTCACGTCTGTCCTTCACACCTTCCCATGAGATTCCTTGCATGGCTGTCGACCCTCAGAACTCATTTCATCCTCAGCATGAAACTTGGTTTTTGTTTCGTTTTTTTCCTACAAACACAAATGGTCTTTGAGGGGGAGGGAAAAAATAGTTCTTTTGTCAGAGTTTTTGGCAGCGACTTCCTATTGTTTGACAGATTTTGATGGTACGTGTAGGAAATGGAGGTCAGCGCTGAGGGTGCGGCTGTTAATTGCTTTTGTCTGACACACTTATGGCTGAACTTTCAGAGAAACGGTGGATTTTCAGCCCAGTTTGTCTCTCCTACCATGTGACGACCGACAGTGGAATAAATGGTTGTTGTTTTATTGAATGGAACTAATGGAGGGTGTCAATTTTGACATCCTTTTTTGAGTTAGTCTTTTAATTGTCTTTTGACTAAATTGTAATCCTAATTCAGCCAATAGAACCGTTGTCATTTTAGTCGGTTCACTGAACATCAAAATGAGTCGACTTGATGGTTGGTTTAGATTTGATTTTAGAAAAAAAAGTCACGTTTTACTTGTATGTTGTTGTTATTTAAATGACTTAGCTCTGGTTATTACATCTTTACTGGGCTTTTTTATTGTGTCCTCCGAGATGCTCTATAACAGGGATGTCAAACATACGGCCCGTGGGCCAAAACCGGCCCCGCTGGTGGGTTCAATCCGGCCCACTTTTTGAATTTTGAAAGTGACAAATGCACTAAGACTCTGTTTGATTTTTTGATTTTTAAATTGTATTATTAATTTGAATATTTTCTAATATATTTGTACTTTTTTGGAGGAAAACAAAGGGGGGAAATATGGACTTTGTTGTTTAGGGAATTGTGTTATGATTGTACTGGTCCGGCCCACTCATCGGGCCTCTAATCAGGCTGTATGTGGCCCCTGAACCAAATGAGTTTGACACCTCTGATTTATACTGACGATTCTCAGATTTTCCTCTCGGATTTGTCACCATAAATGTGTTTTTTCTTGGTCTTCCTCTGACCGTTGTCACCTCGACCCAGGGAAAGGTCTTTGCTGTAAAGTGAACAGAGCCAAGTCAAAGGGCAGATACTGAGAAGACTGTCCTGTTGAAATGGAATCTGGGGTTGCAGGGCGTGAAAGAAAGTGCCGTCAGTGTTGGGTTTCTGTGAAAGTCTGGGGAGGGTACGCCGCAGACAGGATTTGTTGCTCTCACGCTTTTAGAAGTGGCTGTGAAAGGACAGAGACGAACACGTGGAGAGGTCAGAATCGACCTTTTCAGATCACCTTGATGGTCGTTTGTTCACGTCCGTGACTTTGACTGATGTTTTCTTCTTTGAAGAGAATAAAGAAAGACAAACCCGCGGACCATTGTGCTCCAGAACAAAGGCGTCGGCTCACGGACGCCCGTGGAGCGCAGGAGGCTGAAGTGGCAAAAGCAAGCGAAGCCTGGCACAGGACCACTTATCATCCAGAGAGAGAGGTTTCTTTGCAGAACAATTGAACACAACGACATTCTTCACTCTCTCTCCGAACAAAGAAGCCTCTGAATCCCACGATCTGCAGCGTCATTCCACTTTCTGACCCCGCTGAACTTTCTCCCCCTGGTTTCTTATGCAATCTGAGTTTCTGTGACTCTATAACAGCTACGCTCTCAGGTGATTGGTGGAGATAAAAACCTCAGGAGCGTACAGTTCAGTGACAGGCGCTGGTGTATAGTGAGCCTTGTGTGTGGCCACAGTTCTGCAGCCACTACAGTTTCTCCTCTGATAAGTGAAGTGAGCAGCTGCAGCAGAAATAAGAAACCCTTCTTCGCTCCGAGCTGCACGTGTTGGTTGAGTCGGCAGAAGAAGGATGGACGGTTCAGTTACCACGTCTGAGTTTCTGGTGGTAGAAAGTGGAATCAAATTAGTTCCGTTAAAGGAAAGTCTTTGCGATTATGCTCAGGTATTGTGTCGTATCGTACTCTCCTCTAGGTGCTGAGTACGATGCGACACGTGGGTTCGTTACGATGTTCTCTGTGTTCTGCTGTCATAGTTCCTGGGTGGGGTGGCTGGAACTCAGTAGGTGCTTTTTTTCTTGTACCCGTGAGGGTTGGGGGATCAATTCCTGTCTTGATAGGTTACCTAATGACCCTCCTCCCCCTCCCCCACAGCCAGAAACATGCAGTGGGATTGTCTTTGAGTCGTCGTCAGGACTAGAGAAGTCTCATATAAGTACATACAGTATTCCCGTCCTCGGTCCAGGAGGACCGCTCGGCTTGCTTGCTAACAGCAATCAGAACCTGCCTCGCACAGACTGAGATGTACAGCTGCATCGGTTTAAATCCAGTGGTTCTCAAACAGTGGTGTGTGTCCTGGTGGTATTTAGGCCGCTCTAATGGTTTAGCTATTCTACCGGGGACGTACTGTATTTGTGAAAAATATACAAATGTAGTAGGACCCTTTGTTATGGTGGGGACATTTTTCAGGTCGAGTGCGTGGAGAGGTTTGAAAAGTCTTGTTAGTTAACCCTCTAATTTCAATTGTGTTCCTCCTGCTTGGACTTAAACGTAAACTAAAAATACCGATCTGCTCAACACGAAGCTGAGTCACTTTCCCCACAAACCTAGGAAACAGCTGAATAAATGACAGACTGTGACAGAAAGGCAGAGGTGGCTTCCAGTTCAGCCCTGCCTTCAAAAACCTCCCGAATCACAACATTCCAACTGATCTGTGGCCGTGAGATCAGACGACGATTTGTAGGAAAAAACTCTTCAGGGAGTTTCAGATGTTGGCGGCCATCTTTGTTGTTTTTGTGTCTGTGCACATTCACACCGGTGCAGGAAGTCAGTTTAGTCCCATCGTTCTTACATGGGTTTTCAGTGGATGACCCACTGCCAAAATGTATCTGGCCCGGTGTCCACTGCCAGTTTCCACAGCCCTGCCGGGACGTCGGGTTGAGCTCATGATGTGACATCAGCGTTTTAGTGAATCACAGAGTGAAGAGAAACTTGTGGGAAACAAAATTAAAAGTTCGGTGGTTATGGGAGAACTTCATTAAACCTAGGATCTCTGCTCTGTCTGAAACTACATTACATAATGACTACAGCTGAGCTGTACTGGGATGCAGAAGGTATTTTATTTTCACCCTCCGCCCTGCCCCTGTCCTTTTTTTTTTTTTTTTGGGTTGCTGACTTTAGTCCAGTGCACTGGGGTTCGTGCCTAATATGGACAGAGTACAATAACATCGGCGGAGACGGATGGATAAACAGAACACGAACATAAACAACCGTATGAGTTCTTCTCTGTGGTGGAATGTCTCCTCCATTCAAACTAATGTTTGCTGCTGGAATATTCTCTTATTAGAGTGGTGCAATAGTGTAGAGTACATCCTGGGGGCGCTGTCAGGAATTCTGTTAACACAACAATAGTGTGGGATCAATGAAGTTCTTAACATAAAAATAATAAAACAACCTCCAGAGCGTCTGTTGTCGATGATGTGTTTTTGAGTAAATGTTCCTTCTGCGGCAAGTAACGCTAGCGCCCTTTATGTGAAGTTATTTTGACTATTGGTTAAGTCGAGGATGAAACATCAGCATAGGTCAATCAAAGGTAGGGCGTGTGTAGAAGAATGTGACTTTTCCACTCCGCCAAGGAGTCGTCGACTCGTGTTGCTCCTGTCGATGCATCGACAAATCGTCTTTTATGCTAACACTCTGATGGATATATACAAATACAGAATGGCAACACCCACTCTCTCTCTCACGCTCGCTGAGCTTTGGTGGACTGAAGGAGAGCACAGTGAAATGGTCATTGTCCTGACTTAAAGTCCTGGCTGTGAAGGAAACATAAACGCTGATTAAACTGTTGTCGTCGTTGT